CGGCCGGGCGCCGCGGCGGGCAAGCAGCCGGGCGCTGCACGACGGGGCAGGAAAATGGCCGCGGACCACATGTCAGGGGCGGAAAAAATGGCCGTACCCCGAGGTGGAGTTCGCACATCGAGGTAAATTTTTGTGGTCGTAACCCGAAAAGTTCGTTAGTAGAGGCGTTTGTATCCCAAGGTACCACTGTATATTGTGTCCAAAGTTTTTAGCCCATTTATCATACAGTCTTTCACTTCTTCTGTTTCAAATCAATAAAAGTTTATAAATTTTAGCAATTACATGTTCATCAATTGTACATAGTTCAAATTCTGTCTTCTGCTGCTCAATTCCAAATGTCCTATTATCTACCTTAAATCTTTGTCTTAACTGTGCATACAAAAATCATTGAAAACTAAATCCCTCTTTAGCCAATTACTCTTTTAATTTCATTTTATATTCTCCATGTTCCTGTTCTAACAAATTTCAATGTTAACCATTTTTCTTTAACTGCTAGTTTTTTCCTCTAAATGCTTCTTGTGCTGAGACAGATAAGGTATTTTTGGGCAAAGTCTGGGTTTATATCTCTTCCATAATCTCAATATGGCACTTCTAATATAATGATTCTTAAAATCCACATTAATCTTAACTTTATCATACCATAGAAAGCCATGCCATCTGAACCTCAGATCATGCTCTTCTGATTCTAAAATTCTCTTATTTCTCAGCAGAGTCCACTCTTTCATCCAGACTAAGCAGCAGGCTGCAAAGTACAATTTTAAATCAGGGAGTCCCAATCCTCCTCATTTCTTTACATCTTGAAGTATTTTATATTTAACTCTTGGTTTTTTCCCTTGCCATACAAACTTAGATATATCTTTCTGCCATTGTTTTAATGGTACATCAGTTGTCATTATAGGTATTATTTTAAACAAAACCATCATTCTTGGCAAAGCATTCATTTTTATCATAGAAATTCTCCCCAACAATGACAATTGTAATTTCTCCCATCTTATCATGTCCTTCTTAATTTCATTCCATATCTTAAGATAATTGTTCTGGTATAACATACAATTCATATTAGTTATAGTGATACCCAAGTTATTTCACTTTTTTCTCAATCTTAAAACCAGTTTTTTCCATCAATTCCATTTGTTTTTCCATTTTCATATTCTTTGTTAACATTTTCATCTTTTGTTTATTAATTTTAAAACCAGCTAACACCTCAAAATCCTCTAGTTTTTCCATGAATACTCCTATTGCTTCCAGGGGGTCTTCTAAAATTATCACTAGGTCATCAGCAAACACCGGTAATTTCTGTGTTTCTTTTTTAATCTTCACTCCAGCAGTTATCTCATCTAACTTATATCTCTGTTCAATACTTCCAAAGCTAAAATAAATATCAGTGGTGACAAGGGGCATTGTCTAATCCCTTTCTGTATCTCACAAGGTGTTGTTAATTCTTCATTCACAATTATCTGTGCCTTTTGTGAAGTATAAATCAATTTTACCCATTTGATAAAATTCCCGCCATAGTCCATATCTTCCAAAAATTTTAAACAAAAAAGTCCAGTTCAAATTGTCAGAGGCCTTTTCTGCATCAAGAAAAATCAATGCTGCTTACTTTTAATTATGTTGTCTAAGTATTCCAAAATATCCAATACATTTCTAATATTGTCCCTCAGCTGTCTTTTAGATAAAAACCCACGCTGATCTTCATGATTAAAGTCCTGTAAAACCATCTCCATTCTCTCAGCTAAAATCACCATAAATAACCCTGCAGATTTTCCTCTTGCATAGAATTTAGTTTGATCCTATGAAAGGGGCAGAAGATACTTACTGGAACGCATACTGCTACTGCTGCTAATGATTAAACAACAGGATAAAGACCCTCAGGGTTGTTTGTTTGGAAGCTGATCCAAATATTGAAGAAAAAGATGATTTGAGATTATTGGCCAGTAAAACCCAAATCTTTATTTGTAATATCTTGGTATGAAAACAGAATTGCTGAATCTCTCTGGTTATTTTCTCCAAGTAACACTCCTGTTTTCAAGCTCTGTCCAGTGGGACAAGTCTCCCAAAGTGAAAAGCAGGAGAAGTGGATTAAAATGCATTTAGGGGAGGATAAATTATGATATTATCTAAGGCCATTTTCCATGCCAATCATTATTTTTGCCTGCATGCTAGTGTCTTGTCATGGGATACTGAAAGGTGGGAAAATATATTAACAGATGCAGTTTTTAAAAAATATTATAGTGTACAGTTTCAGATTTTTGTCTTATAAGAAACCTGGCCTAAATATTTTGATTGTTTTTAATTTGTTATGTTAAATGTGTTTACAGTCCATGAAAGTAAAATGTTTAATAAGGGCAGGAACAGAAGTGAATTGGTTCTGTAGCTTCTGGTAAATTAAGTGCTTTAGTACAAATATTTCACAAAGTATTTCTCTGCTTTGATGTTTTCACTGATGAATTGGTCTGGCACAACATTCCTGTCTTAATTCCTGGAAAATGTAGACTGTAAATCAAGCATTTTGGAATAATTAAGTAATCATTACTTCCTGGTTCCTTTTTTCTTTTTTCTTTTTTCTTTTTTCTTTTTTCTTTTTTCTT